TATATATAAACATAAAACTTTAAAGCACTACTTAATTTCATCATTTTTTCTACTTTAAAATGTTAAATGTTGCTGTTGGGCTCGTTTAATATTTACTGTTTTTCCGTTTTTGTTCCACCTATTTTGTAGTTTTGTAGTTGTTTTTTTTTTTCGTTTTTATGTTTTTATATATTTATAATATTAACTTTAAACTTAATAGATTGTTAGAATTGTTTTTGTTGTTGTGGTTTTTGGGAAGTTCGACAAACGTTGTGATTGCTGTCAATTATCGTTGTGGTTCTGCTGTTTATTATCAAGGGCGGCGATCCAACACGACGACATTAAATGTCCTAAAATAATCACAGTTTAATTAAAAATTGAGCATAAAGAGAATTTAACGAGATTTGCTCACCTGTTCACCGTTTGAGGCATGCTGCTGCAACTTGGATATGAGCTGCTCCTTTTGGCTAACAATGCCGCGCCAGTGCTCATCCTGCTCGCGGGCCCGCTGCTCCAAGTCCACCAGAGTGTTGCTCTACATAATGAACATGTTTTTAATGTATTTTGATTATCATTAACTCAGGTGGTCGAGCTTACCGTTTTGGTGACCAGCTGCGTGAGCTCATCGTTTCGCTTGCGCAGCTTCAGGTTCTGTGTGTGCAGCTCCTGCTGCTCGGCAGCACTAGCGGAGAATTTACTATTCGAATTACTATTATTGCTACTAATATTGTTGTGGCTGCTACTATTGTGATCGCTGCTACTGCTGCTGTTTGATTGCGTGGACTTATTACTACTGTTTGTTGCAGCTGCTGCTGCAGCGGCCGCCTGCTGCTGCTTGATGTGTGTGGCGAGCACCTGCTGCAGCCACTCCTCAAACGAAATGCTGAGTGCGCTGGCGGCGTGTGCCTTGACAGCATCGGGATACAAGCGCTGGTACAGCTCCCGGATACGCTGCTGCTCCGCCTTGGCTGAGTTGGCGGACGCACGGCTCAAGTCCTCGCCATTGGCAGCGGCCGCCTGTTGCTGTTGYTGCTGCTGCTGCTGCAACTGTTTCTGTTGTTGCTGCAAGTTCAGAAATTAGATTTGCAATTAAAATTTGCAGCTTGGCTAGAATTACCCACATAGGTTAGTATGAAATAGCGGGAGTCGTTTGACTTACAGGTAGAGGAACTGGTTTGTTGTCATTGCTTATCAATTATTTTATTCACTTTACAAACTATACAATCAAATGGTAAATCAAATGAAAAGAATCAAATTATAACAATGTTGGAGTGCGTGCACTTACGCCTACGATTTGCGCTGTATTTGTTTTCGTCTTTGCTGTTGTTGGGGATCTGGCGGTTGCTTCGGCATTTTGCAACGCTTCAATCAACTTCCAATTTTTCATACGAATTTCCTGACGAAACACAAATACGTGGCAATTAGTATCAAAGCGGGATGAAAGGATTAACACAAACAACAAAAACAAAGCACATCAGGGAAAATCGTATAAAAAAGAGATTAGTTTACTAAATGTTAATGTGGACTCTTAAAATCTAAGTTAGTACAACGTCAAATACAAAATATGAAAGTTCTCGTCGGTAATGTCCGAATAGAAAATACCCTAAGTTCCATAAAATCGAAGGTTTATTTGTTATTTATTTCTAGCATAAGCATATGCTAGATTGTTTAAAATATTTTTTAAATTATCAATAAATATTTTTCCTCATTTTTGAGATTTTAGAATTCTCTGTACAGTTTAGCTTAGTTTTATAATATTTAAATAAACCAGGAAATAGTCGGCAGTCTACGACAATCAAAATTGATAAGCCTGTTCCGTTCATGCCAATTCATATTTTATATAAAAATATATACACAAATTATAGTTTTTATTGTAGTTAGTGCGGTCAAGCGGACGGACGGACAAATGACTCAGCTCATTATCTCATCATAAGCCTATGAAAATGGGAAATATTTGGGAATAATGATTTTGTTAACATGGTAGGCAGAAGGAGGCGTGGTAGATCCCATCACGTATATACAGTTAGTTTGTCTAGTGCTCTAAGCTTAGTTATTAGCACTCACATTATTCTTCTCGCGCTGCTCCTGCAGCTCCTTCTCCAGCTGTCGCTCCCTATCCTGCAGCTTCTCGGCGCGCTGTTGCGCCTCCTCGAGCTGGGACCGCAGAGCGGTTGTCTGTTGCTGTTGCGTGGCTTGGCTATCGGTCAAGGTGCGCAACTCTGACTGTAGGTTAGTTAGGGCCTCGGCCTGCACCTGGGCCTGCTCCGATTGCTGTGCGGAGGCCTGCACAGCCTGTACGGCCTGGCTGTTCGCTTGGCTGAGCTGCTGGGTAAGGCTGGCATTGGTGGCTTCCAGTTTGGCCGCCTGCTGGCGCAGCTCTTGCAGCTCTGTGTTGCGGACGCGCGCCAGTTCGCCCTGTGATTGCACAAGCTCGGCCTTGGTGGACTCGAGAGCATTGTTTAGGTTGCGCAGCTCCTCTTTGATTTCGGCATTCTCGGTTTCGAGCTGCCTGCGCTGCTCCAGCTCAAAGACACTGTTGTTGAGGCGAGCCTCCAGCTCGTCGCGCTGCTGCTCCACCGCGAGCAGCTGCTGTGCGTGCTGCTGTATGACTTCGTTCTTCTGCTGCACCTCGGCATTCACAAAGCTGGTCATGTCCGCAATGACCTTCTCTTTGTGCGCCAGGTCCTGCTGCAGGCGTTGCAGCTGCAGCAACAGATCCTGGGAGCTGGCCTGCTTTTCACGCAACAGCTTCGCCTGGAATTGTTGGCGCTCCAATGCCAGCTTCTCGTTGGCACTGGCTAGCTCCTGGTTAAGTGCTGCCAACTCCTGATCCTTGCTCAACAGCTTCTCGTTGTATGCCTGGCAGCGACTGTGTATCTGGGCGCGCTCGGTGTTAATCTCTTGGCGGAGTTCACGCAACTTGGCTTGGATGCCGATCGAAGCTTCCTGTTCCTCGGCCAGCTGCTTTTCCTTTTCGTCCAGTTGGCGCTTCAGTTTCTGGCATATGTCATCCGACCAATCGCCGTGACTGGCGGGCATATCCTGTTGCCTGTTGAGCAGATACTCGATGAGCATTTGGATCTCGGAACGATTCAACTCGGCCCGCGAAAAGACATTCATCAGAGCCGACACACCAATAGTCTGATTCTCGGCGAGCTTGTCCAGTGCCTGCACGAGATCCTTCACGCTCAGCGACGTCTCCTTCTGCTTCTTGCCCGCATGCTGTTGCTGTTTGTTGCTCTTGTTATTCACGTTATTGTGCTGCAGCTTGGGAGAGCCTGTGGACTGTTGCTTGAGTATGATTTGCTTGGGCACGTGTGGCACCTCCACGGGCTGTTCCATGGCAGCGCTGAGCAGCGCTGGAGCGGCAATGGGCTTCTCCTTTTTGGCAGCGTTGCCGTTTTTCTTTTGCGCCTGTTGCTTGGTGCTGTTGTTGTTATCCTCCTTGCGTTCCTTTTGCTCCTGCTTCTTCAGCTCCACCACATCCTTTGGCGCACGCACCTCAAAGTTGTTCAAAGTGGGCGTTTCCTCCGCAGTTACCGGCCTGACAGCCACGGCTTCGTTCTTGTTCACCAGAATGCCAACAGCTGCCTTGGGTCCTGAGCCACTGCGCTTATCCTTTTTGCCTTTCTTGCTGTTATTGTTGTTGATGTTGTTGGGCTGGTTTTCCTTTTCGGCACTGCTGGGCCGGCGCTGCGGCTCATTTAGGACCTCTGGATCAGGGTCGAATTCCACATGCTGCTTGGACAATCCGGGCTGTGCCGATTCCTCTTCCACACCAACTGATCCCTGACCCTCTGAATGGCCATCGGAATAGTCATCTTGCTCCTCCTGGTCGTTGTTGCTGGCATTGTCCTTCTGCTGCTCTCGCTGGCGCTGCTTCTTTTCACGTTTTAGCTCCTTCTTCTTCGGTTTGCGCTGCGACGATGCATTGCCTCCGCTTTTGTTCTGCGCATACAAATTGGCGCTCAGTGCCCGTTTCTCCGCCACAACTTCCTCAAAGGTCTTGCGCCTGAAGATCTTGTTGATGAACAAAAAGGACAGTAGCGATGCGCCGATCACACAGCCAATGACGATCAGTATGTGGAAATCCATATTTGCATACTTTGCCGGCAGCAGTTGATATTTGTGTGAAGAGCGCAGTTGTTATTCTTTTGTGAATTGCTGTAAAAAACAAAAAGAAATTGCTATCAAATCCTTATAAGAAACGAAAATACTGGTAAAAAATAATACATTTAGTTGTGCTACAGTACAGGGTATTTGCTTGCCTATGTCAACTATAACTATAAATTGATATTCGATTGAATAAATACTAAATTATTTAATAATCGTAATGATTGTGAATTGTCCAAAAATTGTTAGTAGATTTATTTAATTAACAGTAAATATAAAATTAGATATACTCCACAAACAGTCTTTCACTATATAAGGTTTAGTCACCTTTTAAAGCAACGAATATTTATTTAAGCAATTCACACGATTTTTTAAAATTTTTTTTATTAGTAGTCTACTGTTACTTTTATATTTTAGTAAAAGTATGACTTCATATCTGATTCACAAACAAGTCTTTACGTGCTTTTTGTGTGGTCACAAAAAGTCGACGCTGACTAGAAATTTTAAAATTTGATAGGTGATTACACTTTTAGCATATTTCCCACATCTAACAGTTGGGAGCTTTTTTGTGGAACTACCGATGACGTGTAGCTTAGCAATTAGCGAATCGCTGATGGTTGGAGCTGCGTCGAATGTCCAGCATTAAACAAAAAGTAAGATCAACGACTCAACAATCAAAATCAATTATAATTGTCATTCAGTCGAACGTGTCTGATTGTTTGTGTTAGTGCATGTGCCAGGCGGCAGTGAGCACGACGCATGCTTATCAGTTCGCCGGCCGGTGAATGATACCGAAGTATACAATTGTTATCGTCATTGTTGGTGGATATGTTGTAAATATAAATTGTGTATATCGTTATTGCTGTTGTTATTGTTATGTTGTTTATGGGGCTTTCGTTTCGTAATTGAGATAGCCGTTGCACTTCAAACCGTATATTTTTTCGGTACATACATAGATACATACATACACATATGCAATACTAATCAGTGCTGGAATATTTCATGCTAGGATCGATAACATGCATCGATAACTGAAATTGAGCAAGCCCATAGCAACTTGTTTGAGCAGAGCTTTAAATGTATTTATTTTGTTGAACTTAAGCGGATACAAACAGTAAAAGCTGGCCACAATCAATATCCAAAGAAAGACTTGCAAATATAACAGGAAATTTACACACATACAAACATACAAACACACACACACACACACACACACACACACACACAACACTGCTCTTTGACGCACACGTATGCAAAATATTGAAAAGCACTTACTATGTGGGATCGTCTACGCTTCTTCTTTATTTTCTTTGCTCAAAACGCGCTTGAAAGTCTATTGTACCGAGCGCTAAATGGACGCAACACGAATGACACAAAGTGCCAGCTAGCAGCAACGGCAACGGTGAAGCCGATGCCAAAGCTCAGCTCAATGCTGCTCTCTGGTTCTCTTTCTCTATCTCTTGCTCTTTCGCTCACGCGACGGCTACAGCATACAGTTAGAACTTGAAATATTAAGTGTGCTCCGTAAGCTCCGTTTGCTTTTCTTGTCGCTTGCTCTGTTCTTCTTATCTTCTTGGAGAATTCACAAATTGCAAATACAATTCAAGGTTGTTGCTCTCTCCCTCTCTCTGTCTTTCTCACTCGGCAGCAAGCAACTGTCTCGAAGCAACGTCATGTTTTCTGCTTCGCTCAGGTCTGCTCAGCTATTAACTGAAGAATTTCAGCAGGTTCGACTTAACAACTTCAGGCTCTTTACTTATACATTTTACTGCTGCAATGTACACACATACACTTGTATATGTACAAACGTATGTATACGATTTAATCTTTAATGGAATCGTCCTATACGTCTTTTCAGTGAATGTTGGTCTTTGTTTGGGGATTCACAGCGTACACTTTTATATGTATGTATGTACATATTTACTTTCTCTCTTTCTATCTCACTTTTTTTTTATTGTGTTAATCGCTTGCTGTGTCAATATTGTCGATTTGCGCACTATAAATTCCAGTTAATTTTGATGACGACGCTGTTGCGACTGACAGTGTGCGCTGATTGCGATTCGTCATTGGAAACGCAAACGTAACTGTAGCAGGGACCCAGAATTACTCTGACGTCGACTTCAGTCGTCTAGTCTAATGATAGTTTGGGAATTAAACATTTAACAGCTCTGTGCTAAATGTGTGCCAGTGAGAACGATTTGAGTGGGTTCAGCTACACTTGAACGATGCCAACAAAAGCGGCATTTCTTCGAACGTCCAGCGGCCGTAAAGAAGAAACTACAAATAAAAGCCGGTAAAGGTCATCAACCGGAAGAGCGCCGCTGCGGAATGTACTCAAATACACACACACACACACGCATACACATTCAGACTATACGTTCAGTTGTATGTATGACAGTCAAAACTGGCTGTGGCTACGGTCCGCTGGCACAGCTCTGAGAATTATTATCAGCATAGCAACAACTACAGCTGCAACAAGTACAAGTATACGGATGTGTGTGTATGAGTGCCTAAATAACTTTACATATGTATATGTTTATGGCTGAGTCGTTTGCTAAATTTACTGCTGGCCCGATTGCAATCTGCGCTAACTGCAAATATGGCCCAATTTTTTGTTGTTGTTCAATTAGTCGGAAAAAGCTGCCACTACCCATATGGAATTTTTCACTCACACCCGATTGCTGTAATGGTAACGGAGCAAGTGCTGAGCACTCTCTCTCGCTCTCACAAGGGCGCACACACGCACACGTACACAAATGCTCATTCATTTTTGTTTTCTCTTTTGCTTTTTGTTATTTTTCGTTGGACGCCTTTGTTTTCTGTTATTCATAAATGCAATTTTGCTTTTGCTATTTTTGATAGTCAGACAGGCTGCTGCTGCAACAGGCAAATGATAATTATAGAAAGTTCTCAACAAAAAAATTGTATTTATGTTTATGTTTATGCAACATGCAATGTTGTTATGTGCGCTTAATAACGAGAGCATGCGATTTCGAGAGTCCGATGCGTGGGAGCAAGCATCAAGTTCGCTGCTGACGATGCTAATTTTCTCTTTCAGGCAGGTGGGTCACAAAACTCTGAATTTGTGTCGCATTTAACAATGACTCACTGAATATTCTCAAAATATAACAACAAAATACTCACTGGAAATTACAAGAAATCTTTGATGTGCGCTAATGATTATTGATTGTCAATGTTGTTTGTCAAAAGTGTTCAAGAGAATCAATCTGTAGCGACAATCTAATGAATGGAAACTATGCGCATTTATTATTTGCGCCCTCTTTATGAGTGTCTGTTAGGCTGTGTGAATATAAGTGGGTATTAAAATTAAAGGGCTGGGCAGGGCGGCGCTTGTGTCTGCTCGGCTCGCCTTGGCTGCTGGCTGCTTGTCTGCCAGCAATGTGTAAATGTCAAAAGAAATGACCATACAATAACAGACACAAACTCACACGCACGCACACTCAAGTACATATGCACGAGTGCAACATATAGGGGCCAGCACATCAATTATGTTATTTCTTGTTTGATACAATCGCGAAAAAGGCAAGGCAACGTCACACATAAACATATATATATATACACACACACACTCAAACACAGGGCAATCAGACGCCAAAGTTTTTGGCAAAACAGTTCATTAATAACTAAATACAATTCTTTTAAGCAGTGTACTATTTATTAATTTCACTTTAATGACGTTTAATTAATTGGCATAAAGTGAAAGTATTTTATACAAGACAAAATTCAACGTGGCTTATTAAGCGCCTAATTGGCGAGACTGAGGAAAACAAAAAGAACAATTCGAAATATATTATGTACATACATACATATGTACATACAGATGAATGTTCGTATGTGCCTATGTATATGCCTGCCAAGTGACCTAAACCCGATTTCGACTATGCGGCTGTTTGTAATCGTCTTTTGCCTGATAGATGTGGAGCATGCTAGACCTACACACTCACACGCACTCACTCACTCTCGCATACATATATATATGTACATAGAAAACGAAGCGCCGCTCTAAATTTATGCGGGGGCGTAAAGAGTTAGCCGAGATCTATGCAATATCCTAAAGTTAAAGACAAAAGGGCGTCGCTGCTGCGTCGCACAAAAACAACAAATGCACCAGACTTTACACACACACACAAGTCAGCAGAGATATGCATACGTATGTATGTATCTGCATTTATTATACTTTTATTATCTTTTTTTTACTTTTCCAACTTCTTGCAACGTCGACAATCTTACAACATTTTCACATCAAAATCACAGAGCAATATTTCTACCTTCCACTACACACACAGATACACAGTATATGCATGCAGTTTTTGCTGTGGGGACCATCCGCCATTTGCAAGCAAGTGTTGTATACGTGTGTGTACGTGTCTTTGAATGTGTGTGTAGCGTTGTCGCGTCGGCAATTTTTTCTTTCATTTTCGGCACCTTTTTTCAATTACATTTTCATATGCTTTTACATAATGATAACTTTTAAAACTTAGCCAATTTTATGAAGATACCAAACTTACAATTTTTTCAGTTGGAAGTAGCGTTATTGTTGAAATTTAAACATTTAAATTAGCGATTTTTCTCCACTTGTGTTTGTATTATTGCTTTGAGTTTGTTTCACTGCAAAGTGTGGCGGTCTGTGTTGCATAGTCGATACAATGTGGTGGTCTAGCGACAAATTGTTAATGCAACACTAAATAATGAATTATTCAAAAGTGGAAGTTTGATTTCGATTAGTAGTTGCGGGAATATCATTATAGTAAAACAAATCAACAATTTCTACATTTACTGCAAAAATACTATTTTGATCATAGATCGCAAAATATTGCTATCCTATTTTTGTTTAAATATAGACAATTGGCAACAGAAAGTAAGAAGAATTACTCTGCAGCTGTATATCGATATTTCGATTGGAAAGAACTAAATGAACCTAAAATTTTGTTTTCCATTCGTTTGAACAAACTTCGACACAACTGTTAACCAACTTAAAAGAAAAACAAATCTAAATAACATAATCTCACGAAAATTCGAAAGTCCCGCAGACAGCGGAAACAATGATTGGTAAATTATCAGCTTGGTACCGAGACAATGTCTCTGAGTCCGTGGAGTGTGTTTCATGCCGATTAATAAGTGGATTTGGTATGCTCGGCATTGGAGCGTTTCTACTCTCACAAGCAAAACGTCGTCGCTCACCTGTGGAGCACTATGCAATGAAAAGCATTGCGGCAGGTGAGTGTAATGAAGGAGGTATAATTGAAAAAAAAATCACTCATATTTGTTTTTTATATAGTTGCTGGATTTTTGGGTGTTGCACGTTTGGCAGACGCAGACTTTCTAAAGGCGAAGGCGGAACCCGTCATGGAACAGAAAAAAGTTACAGGAGATCATCCGTTTTTTAAGCGCTGATGTTATTTAATTATAGACGCTTGTTAAATTTAATTTGTTCATTACATTTATTCATCGGCATATAGACACATTTCCTGGCTTCAGCGTCCCACCTTTCCTAGCTTGGTGTCAGTCTTTGGATTGGCAGTTAGATTCTGAACTGCAACAATAGTTTCGTTGATCTGAGTTTGTAGCTGACGTAAACTTTGTATTTGCAACAGGCGCAGAATACGCATGGGATAATCGAGAGCCGGATCGTTAGCCGAAACAACATCGTTGCCCTTATCAAAGGGAAATGGGGTGCCAGTTATCGCTGTTTTGTGGGTGGCTGTTGGAGCGACGCGTTCATGCACAATGCGCGCCACGGCCTCCAGCTGCAACAAATGATTGGGGTGGTAGGGCACTTTAAGCTTTGTGGCCAAGGCACGTACCCCAGCAATAAACTCCTTGTCGTGAACTGTTTAATGAACATTAGTAATTATTATGAATTCCTAGCTCTATTGATTGTAGCGTGCGAATCTCACCATTTATGCTGCCATTAAATATGGTTTGAACTTTTTGCTGTGAAAGCGTTCCATTGCTTTTGGTCTGGCCTTCGGGATGACTATTGATTGATTCGTATTGAGCAGGATCGTCGAGATATTCGAGACGTATTGCATGTCCCACCAACCAGGTGAGCTGCTCCAATTGTGATTCATATGGGGGCATATTCAAATCAGTGCAGTATTTCTTATAACCCTCTTCCCAAACCAACATGTTGTCCAGATTGCGCAATTTTTCGCGATCTTCAATTGTATAGAGACGTATCTTTTGATCTTCCAGCCAAAGCACTGTGCTTGCGAATTCCTTGCGATCTGCGTGCAAGGAAGAGGATGAGTAAGGCGTATTTTAATTCAGAATGCTCACCATTTATATACTCACTGCTTAATGCAACTTCGCTGGGTGTTGGATGACCCAGCGCCTCGAGCTTTAGCTTTAACATTATTTTGTTCCTTTAGCTAGTAATACACAATTTAACAAATTAGGAAATAAACATACAGAAGAAATCCCACCGGGTGCACTAAATAAAAAGTGACCATTTAGTATTCTGAATTACGTCTGGGCACACTGCTGCACAGCTGTCACTTATCGATAACATTCGGCTGCCAATAGTTTGAAATGTTTTGATTGTATTTGATGTGTTTATTTATGATGGCGAACGATCCGTTGATTGCGCTTATATCTGAGCATATACAGATTTGCATGCTGCCCAGCCTGAAAGTAGATCTGGATGAAGTTCAGACTCTGCCGACGCACTTTAAGGACTATCATTCCATGCTCGAACAAGAACTGCCCAAGTTATACGATTTACTACACAAAAACGAAGTTGTCTTATTACATGATCTTCCATACCAAGAGGTATTGACCCTACGAATAAACTGTGCTACCTCTAATTTACATCCATTTATTATTACAGATTCGAGCCAAACTTGTTTTGCTGCTCTGTGAGCTTACCGCGTCGCCGACGATCTACAGACTTAATAGCGGTCAAGAACCATTGCTGCAGAATGCGAATCAATTGCTTAGAAAACTGGCTTCCAATTGCAATAAAGCTGAGGAAAATTTTATTTTCAAATACTATGAGGAAAAGCTGCATAAGGACTGCTGGAAGCGTCAGCTGGGCGCGGTGCATGGCTACGTTCGATACTTGGAGGTTGAATAATGAGTAATGCTGTGTATTTAACTTATATTAATTAACTAGTATTGCAGCATCGACACTTAAGCGACGTCAAGATGTCCATGCGAATGCTTGCTTTCAGCTTAGCTGTGGGCCTCAATGTGCGCGAGAGCTTTCAGCCGGAATACAAACAGCTGGGCGTGCGCATATTTACACTGATGTTAAGGCATGGAGTAAGAATATAACTAAACGTTTCATATGCATTATATTCATGCAACTGATTTATTCACACAGCGCCCTGATGATATTCAGCAACTGAATGTGCATAGCGTTATTTACGATAATGTATTCAGGGATGTCCAGAGCATGGAAACACTTAGCGGAACAATCTGCAATTGGGATTGCCTCTTACTGTGCTTGGATCATTTCATGAATGTGGATGTTTTTATGGTATAGTGTTTCTTCCCGCTTTTTCATATTTTATGAGTTAAGCTAATGCTTCGTTTTTTCAGTGGAATCATTGCGATGACATGCTCGAGCGACTAATCCAAAATATTTCACTGACCTCTAGCACAGAAATGTCTGTTTCCCTAATGCATTTCATAACAAAGCTTGGCTACTATTTTGCCATCAATAAGAACGAAGTCACAGCAGTTTTATCCACTGACCTAACGAACTCAAATCAACTGACTGAATGCCTGCAGGTGTGTGCCTCCCTGAATGTCTGCACCAATTATCGATGGGCAAAGAGTGTACTGCAAATGCTTGTGCTGGAGTCTGAAAAGCTGTTGCGAAGCGTAGATGCGGCTACCAAGCTGCTGGTCGAGATGCAGCGCTGTTTTCTGGTGTTTGTGCTGCCTATTCCTCTCCAGGCCTTGCACGCCCATTTGCAAGAGTTTTATGCCAAGTTTGTTGCTGTGCTTCTAGAAGGCGTCACCGTCCATCAAGGCAATAAACAAGTCCAAACGGTTAGTTTAACTACAATAACATTAGATTTACCTTATATTTTTATATGCTGGAATCTTTTTTCCTTAGCTAACGCAGCTGTTTATACAAATTTTCATTTATCAACTGAAAAACGGTTCCACAGATGATCGAACTCCGTGTAATCTAAAGAACTACCTGACTGCGCTGGAGAATTTATCGCTGATTATTGTTAAATAAACATGAAAAAAACTATAAAAATTAAAAGATTTTTTTATTTGTATTTGCTTCATTTCTTGGATTGAAATCAATTTAATGTGAATTTGCGCTTTAACTGAGATCTCGGAACTAGTTCAAACTCAAAGTGGCAAACATTACAACACTTTTCAACACTCTTGAACAGCTGACTGCATCAAAGTTATTGTTGATGCTCCCACGTGYTAACGGCGAATACAAATATTTTTATAGAATATACATTTAATTATTAATTAAATTAATGGCGCTATTATCCCAGAAGAGGGCACCACCTGCCGAAGACGTGGACGCGTCTTCCGCCTCAGAAAACGACGAGGAAGAGGACAAAATTGATGAATGCGATAACGAAGGCAATCCCGCTTGGGCAAGAACAATTGCTAAGCTGCTGCAGCAAAAGCCACCTGAGAAGCAAAAGAAGACAGTTCTCTCGCGAGCTAAGAAACTGAAGCCCAACGATGCTCAGAGCAGTAAAGACAAAAAGAGCTACGACTTTGAGATCGATGGAACAGAAGTTGAAGTCAAAACGGAAAAGGATATCAAAGAAGAGGAGGGCTCCGCACTTGACACGGAACTGAAGCGTCACCAGCGCAAAAATGTGCCACTGCAGCTGCGTGTCAAGCCCGATAAACAGGATATGGAGCGAGAGCGTAATCTGCGCAAGGTGGCGACACGAGGCACGGTTCAGTTCTTCAATGCAGTGCGCATCCAACAGAAGGATCTTGAACAGAAGCTGGCTGAGGCCGGACCGCTGGACAGCCGAAAGGATGCAGTACTCAAGAACATAGACAAGAGCAAGTTCCTGGACGTATTGATGAGCGGTAAACGCTCCACGTCCACGGCAATTGACAACGCCGTGAAGAAGGAGGAGCCGGAGTCGACGACAGATGAAGACGAGGATGAGGACAAGCCCACAAATGGGGCTGGCAATAAAAAGAAATCCGAATGGAATGTGCTGCGCGAAGACTTCATGACCAACAAGAAAATCAAGCACTGGGATGAAGAGGACGAGGAAGAGGAAGAAGAAGATGCGAACAGCGCAGAAGATAGCGAAGATGAATAAATATGTAGTACTTAAGTTCTAGTTTTTAATAAAATAATTAATTAACCATTTCCGCATTGGACGTCATGTAAATGCCCACAATCAATCCGAACAGTCCAATTGCTGAGCCAAAGATCTCCACAATTAGTATCTTGACAAATAGGGATGAATTGGCGGCGTCCGCAAGAGCCGCTCCAGAGCCCACAATTCCCACGCAGATGCCACAGCTGAGATTCACTAGGCCAACAGACAGGCCGGCGCCAAAGGTGGCGTATCCCGTGAATATGTTTCGCGTCATGATCTTACGATGGTTGATCACATTGTGAATCACATAGGTCTGCAGATTGCCGGAGAACACAATCGAGCTGATTAGACCGTAAATGGCAACGGCTTCGCAAAATATCACAGATATGAGATTCTTAGTTTTAATGCGAGGCGCACGCACTCCTCCTCCGACAATGCTGACGCCCGTCATGTAAATTCCAATAGCAGCGCCCACAACAGATAGTGAAACGCATAGTCCGACGCCCAGACCAGCCCACATGTACGGACTAGTTGTGTGAAGGAACCAGCTCAGGCCCGAACGTTCTCCTAGGCCGGTCATTACATTGCCCAGAATGAAGACCAGGACCCCAAAGAGGCACAGGCCAAAGAATATAAGACAAATTGTGCGAATTCCCATTCTTTTGTTCTTTCCTCAATTAAACGTATATCAATTAACCGATAAAATTAAATCTCTGCCTTTTTTTTTTGACATGAATTTCAAAAATTTCAAGACCATTCAAATGAAGCCTGTGACGTCACAAGCTCGGTTTATTTGCTGCCCTTGTATTAAATAACACTTTAGACAGTTGAACTTCAATGCGCGTCAATAGTTAAATTATTAAATAGTTAGTTATTATTCAATTGGTAATTAATGCTGTCACAAATTATGCTGTACCAAATAAGAACTGAAATTATTGCACAATTAACGCCATATTTGAAAGCGAACTTGTTCAATTGCAGCTCAGCTCATTCGGGACCCACAAGTTCATTCAAAACTAACGCCTTATTTGAATGAAAAAAAGCCAATATATAGGTTAAGATTTATTGTATAGACGTTTTTCAAATTATTTGGATTGTTTATTTTCTGATATTCATTTATCGTTTCCATTATTATTTATTTTTATTGGATTAGCGTAATTTATTTGAAGTCTTTTGTTTTTACATACATATATATGTACATATGTATATTATTTGGATTTTCGTTTAAATTCGATCAGTTTTTTGTTTGATTTTGGTTTTTGTGTTTTGGCATATTGTTAAATTAACATTTAACGATTTGATTTGGCCACGCGCTCGAGTTCATCCTTCTTCTTGATAGCATACGAGTTGGATGAGCCCTTGGCTGCATTGATCATCTCATCGGCCAGGCACTCGGCAATGGTCTTGATATTACGAAAAGCAGCCTCTCGTGCGCCTGTGCAGATCAACCAGATGGCCTGGAGTGTGATATAAGAATTAGCGTTAGGAAAATATGTTGTTAGCCCTACCAAACACTTGCCTGATTGACGCGACGCAATGGCGATACGTCGACGGCCTGACGACGCACAGTTCCAGCGCGTCCGATACGCGTGGAATCCTCGCGTGGCCCAGCGTTAACAATGGCATTGACCGTGACCTGCAGCGGATTCTCACCGGTCAGCAAGTGGATGATTTCGAAAGCATGCTTGACGATGCGACAAGCGAGCAGCTTCTTGCCATTGCTGCGTCCCTTCATCATTAGGCCGCAAGTCAGACGCTCCACAATCGGGCACTGGGCCTTGCGGAAACGTTTGGCTGCATAGCGTCCGGCCGAGTGCGGCAAATAGCGAGCGAACTTCTCCTTGACAGCGATGTAATCTTGCAGCGAAATGTCACTAATTGTAATTTCATCGCAGCTCCAGCGTCCGAATATCTTAATTTCGGGCCACTCATTGATGGCTGGCTGGTCGAAGCCATTCACATCGTTCTCCTCCCAGATAGCATCGTCATTTGGCTGCTGAGCTTGACCTGCGTCCTGCAGTTGTTGAGACTCTGAATTTTCATAGCCAGTCTCAAAGTTGGATTCTCCGTATTCAGACATATTCGATGCAGTTCTAAACAGGGACGAAATTATTTCATTTGTATTTTAGTAGCTTTTATTTCTTTTTCTCGGTTTCTTTTTTTTTCTAAAAACTTACATCGCTTCACGTAGGAGTTTAGAGAAATTCGACCGTTTCGGTTGAGAGCAGAAGACAAAATGGGTTTGATCAAGCTGACAGCGTGACTGTGCTTAACTGGATTGAAAATGGCAGTTGAGCCAATAGTTCGCTCAATTAAACTATAATTGTTCCTGTAGTCGATGTCGAACAGTCGATTATTTACAGTTGGGGCAGGCATTCAGCGATGGTTTGAATGACGAAAAGTGATACAACCTTAACAATGTTGGATGTCCTTGATTAGAAACGGCGAATGAAACAATGTTGGAAAACAATTTCGATACAGATGCTGCAAGCTATCGGCCAGATTTTTAATATCGGTCAAATTCAATCATTACAATAAATGATAGAAGCAGAATTTTCATGGAAGTTAGTATATGGAGGCTTATTTAAAAAGGCAATGGGCAAGCGATTAAAGTTGGATCACTCAAGTTATTGGGGATTGTTTAACAAAACGTATGTATTTAATAGCTTTTAATATGGAATACTTTCTATAGTAATAATATTGTTGGAGTACTTTCTAGTACCTCTGCATTAGCAGTAGCATAAGATTATACAGTTTTATGTTTATTATCTGTAGTTGTAGTTAATATAATACATTTTTTTTTTTAGAAATACAAGTGCCAAAAATGAACAAATAATATAAACAACTACATTTAGCTATATCATAAAAACACACACACTTGGTTTTTTTTTCGCACACTTATAAATTAAACTGATAACAATATAAAAAATAAATCAATGTAATTTTTACACAGCGCGCATTTAACGTATGATGCTGAAAATTAACGAAACGCGCGCGGCGTAAAAATTGTAGATTTTTGTAACTTTATAACTTAATAAGTAACTAAAGTCCCATGTTGTCGTGAGCGCTGCAGAGGGGGCGAGGGGTTACGTCTGAAACAGTAACTGCGTATATCGAGATTGTAATTTCCAAAAGATGGAACACCGTTGTTGTTGTGTCTTATATGTCGGAATGGCTTGATGACTGATTGTTGTTTTTGTTTTTGTAGTATCTATTTGTTTTTGTTTTTGATTGGGCGCGTGACACAGACTGTAAAAACTTTAGTTAAGTGCTTGAAGAATGTTGTATATCGATTTAAATTAATTAATACTCACGGCCACTTAATCCTTATCACCCATTTTAGCTTTGGATGTCATATATATGCCCACAATCAAACCAAAGAGACCAATGGCCGAGCCGAAGATCTCCACAATCAGAATCTTGACAAACAGTGCGGCGTTAGCAGCATCCGAAAGCGCTGCTCCGGAGCCAACAATACCGACCGCGATACCGCAGAATAAGTTGACCAGGCCGACGGCAAGGCCTGCACCGAAAATCAGATAGCCCGAGAACCAGTTTGTGTTCATCACGGTCTCGCTGGCGAGCGCATTTTCCATATTGAACTGCTCCAGCTGACCAGAGAGCACGATGGCAGTAATGAGGCCATAAATGGCGACAGCCTCACAGAAAATAACCGAAATCAAATTCTTGGTCTTAATGCGTGGCGCCTTCACGCCACCGCCCACAATGCTGGTGCCCGTGGTGTGAATGCCAAGGGCAGCGCCAACGACAGACAGGGAAACAGATAATCCGATGCCCAGACAGGCCCACATGTACGGACTGGACGTGGTCAGGAACCAACCTACGCTTACGCGTTCGCCCTTGCCAGTCATAACAAAGTAGAGTATGAGGATCGTGGCCGCGGCGAGGAAGAGCCATAGAAATGTTTGCGTTACGACTGTGCGTATTTGGGGCGCCATCTTGCACGATTTTTGGTCTGTCTATTGTTTAAAACACTGTATAAACTCTGAATTTAAATAAAATTTATTTGCTATTTACCAAATTGCAGGCGTAATTGTATTTTTCTCGGCCGACAGGTGACTGCTTCGTGCGAAAAAAAAGAATCCACAATCACATGACGTACATTTTCTCTATCACAAGGTATCGAGTAAGTCACGCAATCGATATACTTTCGATATGTCAAATGTCAAAGAACTTTGACTTGACATACTCGATAAACGCGCTCAACCATAAGCAGATTGCTATAGAATTCAGTAAGTAAATGCACTTGCAAAAGTTCCACACAGGTGGCGCCAGTGTGCTGCGCGCGTAAAATTCAAATATCGCTAACTGCCAACAACATAACTTATAAGATACTTTCACTGAAATATATGCAAATTGCATTTATATATTCATTTCGCTTTTTATTATCTCTGTCTGCAGCTCAGTGATTCGCACATAAAAATAAGTTATGACATACAGATTTTTTTTGTTTTTTAATTTTTGTTGTATGCATTGTATGCGTAAAAGAAGTTCGGCCCGAAATACGCACAACTACCAGTGAAATTTACAGTTCATTGAATTGACCGAGCTTCTGGCTGGCAGCAGCAGCAGGGCACACGTTTAACAGCGGCCACGTGATGGCAACATAATCTAAAGCCACATCACCATTAAATATTTACACTACATTATAATTTTTGTTCCTCTTAGGCGCGTGCCCAGCAAACACAAAAGCTTAGCCCAAGACCAAGCGGGCATCAAAATGCTCTCCTTGTTGCCGTTGCTGTTGTTGTTGTTGTTTTTGTTGCTGTCGTCGTGTGCCCACGACAAGCGACAACCGCAACATTCAATTAAACGTAATGTGTTGTTTGTTGTCCCTCCAAAATGGAGCCGCCCACTCTAGACATCTTGATAATAAATGTAAACTTTTCCACTTGTAAAATCCGCCACAGCATAAAGAGTGAAAATAAAATGAAAGTCGTCTTAAGGCCAAACAAAA